AATATTGAGAAGCAGGAATCTTGTCTGTGAAAGAAGTCATCATTACCCAACTTGCTTGTATGACGTTGTTATATTTGAGATACCTTTTCTGGTGCTTAATTTTCCAAATCCTTCTTTATGTTTCATGTATGAAACAAAAAGAAAATAAAATAGTTCTTACTAATGGCAGTTGGGTATCATTCTCCAATTACTGCTCAAAGAATTATTTTCACGGTCAAGAACAGTTACTTTGCTGGTTTTAATTTTTTTTTTAATTATCTTGAATGAGACTTCAGAACATCTGTAACTAGTGTCATTGATTCAAGTCTACATTTCAATATGTTAGTAAAAGAAGAATAGAAAGATTGAAGCAGAGGTGTCTTATAGAAAGAACATCTGTGACTAGCGCACTTCAAAAAGGGTGCTTGGTTTTATGATTCATTCTTTAACCATGATAACCTCAGTTAATGTTTATAGAACTGAAAGGTGGTTTCAGGTAGAAAGGAGTCCATAATCCCATTGTGGGATTAACCTTGATTGGATTTTTCTTTTATAAGTAAAGAAAAGATACCGGTTCAGATTCTACTTTATAGGCTTCAGTACTAAGTGAAACAGAGACTGGATAGAAGCACAGTTTTGGTTTTTTTTTTTTTTAATGCATGTTTTCTTTTTTTTATGCGGGTTTCTTTAAGGGAGGGTGGAACGTGTTGCTATTCTTCTTTAAGGAGCTTTCTGTGAGTTGCTTTTTTTAAACCCTTCTGGAATTGGAAAAACTCTTAGAAGAAAAGGTAGAGGAAGCTGCTTGTCTTTCTGATAGCTTCAGTTTTAAGGTGCAGAATGCATCTGTTCCCTAGTCCTTCTCCGTCCCATTTTTAATTGCAAATATACTTTTCTGAGATGTGAATGCCTAAATTTGTCACACCTTTTCCTCCGACTAGAGTTATATGTCCACTTTTATTTTTAATATTCATGTTTGATTCCATTTGAATGGATTTAAACCTTTTGCTTTCCCTTATATTTGTTTATTGAAACCAGTTTTGGTGCTTCAACTCTTTGACTTGGGGAATTTGCAGATTGCAAAAATCACAGATGAAGGTTTCACAATTTCTCAGCCGTATTCATTGAAGACTCAGTGGAAGTTTAAAGCTTTCGAGAATCCAACAGTCGGTGCTGAGGGCTCATGGTAGTCAGCTCTCTTGGTATGCAAAGGAAATCAGTGTGTTTGGAAATATGCACTTGAAACACGTCCTTTTAATGCCATTTTATGCAGTAGACTTGTGGGTTACAGCTCCCAAACACTATTGTTCTTCTGGCGGACTTATTTGCTTGTGTTTGTCACATGATTTAGAGACATTGATAATGCTCTAGACGGTGATGAATTTGGATTGAGTTTGTACTTCAGTTTGTGAAATCTTGGTTCAATGAAAATTCATGACTGGGAATGGAACCAATCCTTATGCCTCTGCCAAGTCATGACAAACTTGTCACAATCTGCAATACATTCAAAATAGATTCCTGGAACCTTAATGTATTGCAGTCTAGGATAAACAGATTCCAAATGCCTCTTCTTTATATACAGATTTTGTCCCACAATCTGCTAAACCTTTCGTCACTGGAGCGGCAGTTGCTACCTGTAGTTCTTTACTACTAACTGAAGTAGCAGTTGCTTTCATTACCCAAAAAGGGAAGCCGCCATCTTTTCTTTCCTTTTTTTTGTGTTTTTTCCTTTGAGCGAGAAGAAATAGCCATCTACTATGTAGGAAGTCTAAATTGTGGAAAATTGAGAAAGGTTTTCAAAATAATGATTGCGTTGACTGATGATAGTTGTAAGAATTATAGAAGGAATGTATGAACTTGAAAACTAAAAATAATTCTTAGAATGAACTTGTCGAGCTTTAGCTCGGCTCGTCTATTAAACGAGTATAATATAGAACTCGAGCTTGACTTGTTTCTCTCAGTAAACGAGACGAGTCGAGCTCTTATAGAATCGAATCGAGCTCGACTCGCAAGCTATCTGATTCGATTAACAGCTCTAGTTGCGATTCGATTAACAGCTCTAGTTAGTACAAACAAAGTGAATGATGAAAAACTACCAAGCGTAACTGCACCTATTATGTACTTTCTCAACTTCACCGGATTTTGGGAACACAATAAGAAAGAACTTGGATCGGTATAATAATAATACTACCTGTTTTGTTTGCTAGGCTAGTTTGATTTCTTTTTAGTATTACTTTGAAATTCCATGTCACTGTCATATATGATCGACTCTCTTTCATTTTACCGGAGATGCAACTGCAGTTTCGTGAATCATAACCAAATTTGATTTGAGGTAATTTAACATATACGTTACTAAACGAAAGTGAAGATTAATTGAGAGATTGCTCGTTGAGTTTCACAAATCGTACTTAGTTTTTTTTTTTTTTTTTAATGTACGTGCACCCTCAAAGAAAAATGACAGATACGATGCTTACCAGTTGGTTTAAAATTTGTGAAAATTTGAGGTCTCCTCTCAAGAATAACTAATTTTGTTCTATTCTTGTAAGGTATATTTTCGAATCTTGGTTTAAGAAAAGTGCATGAGATTTTAGAACGGAATAAGAAATGGAGGAGACCTCCAACTCAAAGACAAATGGATTATCTTATATTGTATTACGAGTTGAAATCAGAAAATTGAAGGAGTGGATGGTATAAGGTGACGTGTGATTTGCCCATGCACGAGACCGGGAGCAGGTCGAAACTTGGACCCCTGGAATTGGGTTCTTGACATTCTACAAATGGGCCTGGACTTGACAAAAACATGTACTCTCAAACCTGAGTCGCAAATATTCGGCGAGTCCAAAAGCCCATGGAAAAATCAAGCCTATTTATCGACTGAAAATCATTGTTGTTAAACTCGGATCGGACCGGACGGTTCAACCTGTCGAACCGCCAACCGGCCATTCATCCGGTCCGAATTCTTCTAAAAACCCCTTTGTTTAATACTCGGTCAAACCCGATAAAAAATCAGGTTGAACCGTGAATCGTCAAAACCGGCAAGAACCGAATTTATTATTTTTTTAATTTGGCTTTTGTTGAATTTTCAGGTCCCACTAGGGATGCCAATAGGTAGGCATGGCCACGGTTCTAGAACCAACGGTTCTGGTTCTTCAAAGAGGTAGAACCAGAACCGCACCATATAAGATGGTTCTGGTTCCAGAACCGCATAGTTCTAATTTTGGTTCCTTATGGTTCTAGTTCTGGTTTTACGGTTTCGTATGGTTGTATACAATTTTATTTAATTCCTTATCCTTACCAATTTTAATACGAATATAACAATATATTTAAAATTTCAAATAAAATGTAAAAAAATAAATACAAAATAAAGATCATATTTTAATTTTATTATTATTCTACAAAGTAAGAAGTAATAAATAGATAATATAAATTTTATGAAAAGTACATTACATTGTCAAATTAAAAAATACATTACACTATCAAATGGTTAACGTGTGTTGACTTTCTTGAGTTGGACAATCATCAATGTTGCAGATTCCATTTGAAAAAATATTGCAAAAAATATTTTTTTGCTTGCTTGATTTTGAAGATGAGCTACTACCATCAAAACTTGTCATTTGATAGCAAATAAGAAAAAAAAAATTGTAAGTAATAATTTAATACTTACGAATTATAATGATAGATAATAGATGAATAAAAAGAATTAAATAATTAATAAAATATATAGAAAGTCCATAAAATTTAAACTTTCTTAAAACCTATTAAACACAACTAAATTTTTTTGAATTATCTCACTATTTATATTAATTATTTTTAACGGTTCTGGTTCTGCACTTGGGATCCTCGGTTACAAGTTTTCTGTGCCAATTCAATGCCACCTATAGTATTGCGCCAAGTGTCATGTTATTATTTGTACTTTATTTTTTAATAATTCAAATTGATTTGGTTTAACAAAATTTTTCTCTACCTCTACAACTTTGAACCAAAATTAACCAACCGGTCTAATTTCACTTGGGTTCCTTTTGTACGGCAACCACTGGGGAAAAAGAAAAAGATAACCCTGCTACACCGTTCTTGGGCATCCGGCGGTTTTTCGTTTCACATTTTTTTGTTTTTGGAGCAAAAGGTTGGGGGCAGATTTTGAATACCAATAATGTCATCTTGGTCTCTGCAACTATACTTGCAGAAAGTTTGGTCTGAATTGTGGCAGCGTTCCTTTTCCCTACGTCCCCGAGTTAAACTGCATCCCGATCTTCAGATCCTCTGCACTTGCCAGCATTCAGATATCCGTGGAGGCCGAACAGATGAGGACCAAGAATCTGAGCCTCCCAAGAATCTGAGCACTTCCAGGCAATTTTTCTCTTTTTGATTTTGTTCAAAGCAATCAACGATGAAAAGGTTGGACTTTGGAGGCAACGGTGCGGTAGGGTTATCTTTTTCTTTTTTCCCGGTGGTTGCCGTACAAAAGGAACCCAAGTGAAATTAGACCGGTTGGTTAATTTTGGTTCAAAGTTGTAGAGGTAGAGAAAAATTTTGTTAAACCAAATCAATTTGAATTATTAAAAAATAAAATACAAATAATAACAGGACACTTGGCGCAATATTATAGGTGGCATTGAATTGACACAGGAAACTTGTAACCGAGGATCCCAAGTGCTGGTTCTGATTCTATTTTTTAGAGAATCAGAACCGGAACCTTTATTCAAGGTTCTACCACGGTTCTGGTTCCATGATTTTGGTTCCGATTCTGATCCGGTTCCAAACGGTCCGGTTCCGATCCGGTTCCCGATTCCAAATGGAACCATGGTCATGCCTAGCAATAGGGACGGGTGCCCGCGAGCACCCTCCCCACAAGAATAGAAATACCCGCCCCGTCCCGCATAAAAAAAATATATATATATATATATATACAAATATATATATATACTAGGTAATGGCTTCCCACCCAAGGCGTGGAAACTTTAGACCTGTTAATAAAATTTTATTTGTTATTGTGATATTTTTTTAATGGTTGATACGATGTTATAATTCAAAAGGAAAAAGTCATTGGAGTATCGTACAAGAATTGTTTGGTAGTCGTTCAAAAGAAAGAGCCAAGTATACCATTTACATATACAGCAGCATGCCTGATTCAAAATATATTGCTGAAGCCACTGCAGTGCTACATAGAAGTTGTTTGGCAGGAACAGCAAAGCATCCTACTTAAACGTACAAAAAATATGGCATAAGCCATTGCAGCAATCTTTTCCTCTAATGTTCAACATCAATAGCAGCAGCCAAAATGCTGTATTGATATGCCTCCACATTCTCAAGGTACTTAGATTTTAACGTATTGATGATTTTCTTATCATTCTTCTTATGCCTCCACTTTCTCAAGGTACTTAGATTTTCTTCTTCCTTAGTTTTCTCCAAGTAAGATCAAGTGATGGTGAGCTGCTTTTGGCTTTGAAATCATCAATAGACCCAACCGACATTCTTCAATGGGGCAAAGAATTTGTGCATAATGCATGCGGCTGGCAAGGAGTCAAAGAATGCGAAAATGGAAGGGTCACTAAGCTGGTAGTGGAGAGGCTAAATTTAGCAGTTTTGATAGCCGCTGTTCCAGCCTCATCATATACCAAAGTTTCAGAAAAAACTTAGATGTCCCCTCAAAAATGGTTTTACACAATTAAAGAGAGACGGATGATGCCTGGCTGGTATCCTTTCCAAGCCAGAAATGTATATCGGATAAATATGCTGCTTCCTTGGCAGTTGATGTCTAAAAGTGTAAATGAACAATACACGATCGATATTAGTTTTTATCAGTTCATTGTATCCAAACTTAAAACAGGATAAAAAATTTAAGCTCTTCCTTCAGTCATAAACACTCAATTCGTAAGAATGAGGCCCAAAAATAAGATAAAAAGAAAGGAATATTTGGAAGGCATACACACCTGCAAGACAATGTATGAATCACCCGAGTAGAATTTATGATGATCAGATTTTGGCAAAGGAACTGGTTGGAAGTTTTCAATTCTCCAAATCTCTGTCCCTCTATAGCAAAAGTTAAGTTCAACCAAAAAATGGTATGATCAACATAAAAAGATATTTAGCAAAAAAGGAATCAGCAAAGACAAATATGCAAAATCTATGAGCGGATTGAAGATTATTTGGAAAGGGTTTTCATGTTAGTATAGTAGCAATAAATAGAGTGACAGATATTGAAAGATCAGTATAATCATCCACTGCAGTCTTTCAATAAGGATACACTCTCCGACCAGCTCTCTAAAATGCAGGTTCTACAGCTTTGACAGAGGTAGACATCTTGTCAAATGCTTCTTGCAGCCAATTCTTCCAAGAAAATTGTGAACAGGACTTTTAAAGCCTGCAGGTCCAGTAGTCTTCAAACTCTGAACACTGACTACACAAAACAAACAGCAACAGACAGGCTTAGGAAGAACAGAAAATAATATCAAGTCAAAAGTCAAGTTCTATATCTTGATTTTAGCGAACGATGCTAAGTATACATCAAAAATTACTTTAGACAAATAGCATCCACTGTCAAGAACATGAAAATGTTGTAAATTTGGTGACTGAAGAAACTAAACTCATTCCAAAAATGCGAAAAGAAAACAAACTGGAACTTAGATGTCACAGGTGTTCTAATCTTCAACAAGAAGCTAGATGTTTTTGTCAGTACCTTCAACAAGCAAATCATTCTTTGCAATGATATAATTCTAGATCACTAAGCCATTTTGTAGAATAACAGGCTAACAAATCTGTAGTGTAACTTGCTACCTTCAAATGAACTTAGAAACTACGTGGAACCAGTTATGCTTCTACCCATATCATGCACAACTCGCTCGTTTTACGTCTTTCATTTAATAGCAGCAGATTCAAACTGGACACACAAGTGAGTGGCATCTCATCAATCTGATCATAGTCAATGAAGAGTTGGGCTGCAAATTCAGAAGACATGCAGCTGAAATGGTCACCAATAGGTCCCCTTATTGCACTTAATACTGTGCATCCTTTTTTGCAAGATGTGATACATTAAATTCAAAAGGAAATACCAATATAGTTTCAGTATCAAATGAAATCATCTGATGCACGCAGTGCAATAAACTCTAAAAACACAAATGTGGCAAAAAGCTGCTTTCCTCTTTTTTTTTTGATGAGTAGAGCAAAACTCATCTCAGTTTTTAAATGCTCGACTCCCAATAGGAGACTAATGGTTTGGCAAAGTACATTATGTAAGCTAACTCGATATAGTGGCCTAGAGGATAACAATAATGTAATTGATCATTGCTTGAGATTTTCATTGTAGTGAACCAAGATTTAAAGGCTAATACTGCAAGTGCTGGAAATTGTTTACACAAGCTGCATCTTTCTTCCTTACCCACTCTTTTTATGATTCTTGCCCCTGTACATTTTTCCACTTTTTCTGCATTTATTGTGTTTTTTCCCTGCTTTTTTTTCCCCCTTTATTCTGTTTTATGAATGTTATGATAGTATCCCTGCATTTATGAATTTTCTGTGTTTTGCAAGTTCATGAAATCAGTAGAATAAACCAGTCACTCTTAAGATTTTGAAAAAACAATTAAGTGCATGAGTACTGTAGGTTTGACATACAACTGGAAGGAAAAAAAATGGAAGAACATGCATCGGATGCATGAACAGTAATGCAAACTTAAACAGGACAGCAAGATATGAAGATGAATCATACAGGTGCAATTATGTATTTGTTTGAAAAGAAATACTCATGAAACGAATGAATAATAAAATTTAATTTGGTTATTTAATAAATAATTGCATTTTTTCTTATAACTTGATAAGTAACTTGCCAATGAAATCTTTGATGCTGCATTAACTTGGTAGCTCAATAAAATAACTTTACAAAAAAACCCCCTATAAAGAAGCAAAAGAAAAAAGGGAAAGAAATAAAAGTTGAAGTTTGGAGAATGTTGAGACTCCAACAAACCAGACCAAATTGGAATCCACTTCTTTTGGAGGCTATGAATCATATCAAAAACAACTTGTCTAAGATGACATGCCACAAGATAGCTTCAAAATCTTTAGAGTTAATTAATAAGAAGCTTCAAAGTACACTTACATGTATTGTGTCAGAAACACCACTATCATTAGTCATCGTTTGAGCGAGTTTGAGTACTATACTCTTCAAATAAACATGCAGCACCTCTCTTACAAGCAAACATCATAGATTACGTTGCATTTAAGACTGAAACACTATGAAGAAAATTTGGGTCTGCATAGCATGTAAACATGCATTAGAAGAGCTAATTACCAGTGCAAATGTAGAAGACATTTGCCGCAGAATAATGAGTTAATGCTGCTATCTCAAAACAGAGTGCATAATTTTGTCAGGCACTAATGTTTCTCAATCAATAGAACAATACAGAACAAAATTTTAGAAGGGGAAAAAATGTCAAACTTGATCTTATCTTAACCATTTTTACTTAGAAAGACAGCTACGAAGTCATTAAGGTGGCCATTTCAGAAATGCATGGGATTTGGGTCAAGCTTAGAAACATACGGAAACAACTCCAAGTTCCAGGGAAATTAGATGCATGCTTGTAGACAGAAATTTAGAAAATGATAAGAACTGCCAAGAAAAATAAATTGTAAGAATACAGTCCAATCTCAACTATTTTGCTGAGATACATGGGCAAAAAAACTAATCACATGGGGATTTCAGGATGATATCAAATTCTACGCTTCTAATATAAATCTTTTCAGTGAACGAGTAAACAATGTAGATATCATACAAAAATATCCAAAATGAAATTATTAAAAAGAAAATCAATATAAAACAATCATTCTGACAGGGAAACATGCAGAAATAAGTGTTCTCAGTTAGACGCTATCCAGCACCTGTAGCTCATAACTATAAGCTACTTCTCAATTATGACATTGATAAATTTATTCCTATCAAGCTATGAGACTCAGTAGACTGCATCTTTGCAAGAATCAAAGAATTGCACACTTACTAAGTTTTAGGAACAGGACAGAGATGAATTGCAGAAGCTGCTCATTTGGAGTGCCAACTTGAGGAGTAAACAAGTGATCAAAGACTCCACAAATAGATTTTACTGCTGTTTGTTCAATAAAGATAGCCTTATCATCTTCGACCTGATCTTGGATTGCTTATATAACTTATGCATCATTATTAATGTTGATCAACTCTTGCAAAATATTTGAAGCTTACTAATTCCAGAACAACAAATCACAAACGCACCATTATTAATAGAAAAAGAAAAAAGACAGACTTGATAGATTTGCACCAAAGTTAATGAAAATTTAAAGTTAAAAATATTAGTGATTTTAGGTTCCTTGATTTAAAGGCTAGTTTTCAAAGCATTGCATTAGATCAGAAGCCTACTCAATCTAACATGCACATTAATCAAGAAGAAAGTCAATTGATAGGAATATCTAAGTAACTTTTCGTTGAGACATACATTTAATATTGAATCTGAAAAAAAAAATTTTGTTGGCTAATGTACTTGACAAAACATAGAACTTTGGACTATACTGAAGAGACATGATAACAAGTATGTAATTCTCACACTCATTTCTGGATACTTAAAGTAACTTAAACAAGTATGAAAAAAAAAGTTTCTCATTCAAACTCAAAATGAAAAGCAGCTCAATTCACCAGTTCTGAAAATAAATAAAGAGAGTAAATTATGTCCTAAACAGAACGACAGATTAATGGTGGCAAAATATGCAACAAGGTAAAACAGAAGGCTATCTATTGATATATGAATTGATCAGATTCAGAGAGAGATACCTCCAGAGGCTATCACCAAAAAGGCTTTTAGTCATTTGGATAGCTCCTTATGTATTTTTGCATTACAATCTGAAACATATGGTACAACTGCAATCAATACTGTTAGCTTAAAGAAAAGGTTTTGCAAGAAAAAAAGCTTAGCAGTATCAGTTCGAACCTTCAGCAGCTTGCCATGTGAGGAGGATGAAGCAGACAATAACCCTTCATTTTTTGGCTCATTCCCAACCAATGCACTTTTTGACTCAATTGAAGACAACCTATCTGAATCATTTCCAATCTTTTTACAGATTAAAAAGTTCAGCCATCAAAACGGAATACTAAAAACTTATAGCAGAGAGACAATAAAAATAGATTTCAATTACTGGTGTTAAAAAAAGGGGGGGTGTTCTCTTATTGTCGAAAGTTAGGCCAATGCTAATCATTTCCAAACATATCAATGTTTTGAAAAAAACAAAAAAACAAACAGCAAACAGCAAACCAATCTTTTTATATCAAAGAGCTGTAATTGTTTGATTATCAATAGACATAACATGAAGAAATTATGAAACCTTTTTTTTTGCATCGAAGTCTTTGTTAGTTACATCTGTAATGTCATTTTAGTTGAACTTCTGTCTAAAGAGTGATAATCTGGCACATTAACAGGTTGTGCAGCTTGCATGACCTATATAAGAGGATAAATGAAGCTTAATAAGTAATTGTTACAGAATCTATATGAACCTGCCATGCACGGGAGGATCACTTAGTACATGAGAGGATACAAATTGTTAAAACGAAACATGCAAAACCTACGTCCGCTACACTGCCTTCGATATTAACTCCACATTAAAAATAGAGTTAAAAAATGTTTACAACCTGTAGTAATGCAAAATCACTACAATTGTTGTTGAACCCATAGCCAAATATTTTAACGCAAAACAGGAAATCTTTTATGACTTCCGGCAAGGGTGATTCACCATATATATAGATTGGAAGCGAAACAAGGTAAAAGATACTTAAAACCATGAAACTTTCCTTAAATTTCTGTAAAATTATTGTGTTTTTATGAATTTTGATGCATTACATGGTTAAAAGAAATTACCTAAGCAACGCAAGAAAACAACCCAAAAATAATGAAATTGAAGTTCACCTCAGAAAATTTCCCTTCCTCTCCAAAAATGGTACAAGAAAGACAGTAGCAGCTGCATAGACCTAGACAATGAAGAAACCCAAAATTATTTAAGGAAAATGATAAAGCTGAACAAAGAAACAAAGAAAGGCCAAAATTTTGTTTTAAGTAGAAGGGAGCACCCACTTGAGCTTCAGCGGCAACCTTTTACTTGAAAATCGAGAGTACTGCAAATCCTTCAATCAGTAATTGAATAAGAAATAGAGATTTTTGTATCAAGATAAAAATGGAAAAGTAAATAGCCAAATTTGATTCGAAAAGCTAAATATTAACATCAACATCGGAAATCGTACAGCATAATTGAAGTTTTCACAATCTTAAATAGCGATTATGTTAAACAAGACAAAAACCTGTGCTAAAACAAATACTAACTGGTATCTCCTGGAGGACAAATGCTCAATTTTGACAAAAGTAAATAAAAAAGGAGGAGAAAAAAAAATCAACGGTAGCCAAAAATAACGTGTACAAATTAGAGCAAAATTAAAATTTTTATCTGTTCCTTTGCATTTCATATCAAGTTTATCAACTCAACAGCCAATAATTATCTCATCCATTTCAAATTCTAAAGAGAACTGTTAAAATTTTTACTTGTTGCTTTCTCACTAAATACCATTGAAGTACAAAAACCCCTAACGCCCATTAAAGCTTCAATACAAAAGTGTGCAAAACAAATAAGATACTCAAAAGGGAAGAAATAAAAGGAGGATGGAGAAAGGAAAAAGGAAAGCTCCTAAACAAATATCTGATTTTGGATCCTCCTAAATTTCTCAAGTCTAGTTTTAAGTTATGATTTGACATTACCCTTAAAAAAAAAATTATGATTTGACAAGCGGTCGCTATCCATAGGATAGGTACTGTTTAATGGGTATTGACCCTCCTCAGTATTTTATTTTTTTGCAAAAGTAAGCATTTAGTGACTAAACAATCAGGGTAGGAAAAAAAATCAAAAAAGGAACAAGAAAGGATAGGGAGATAAACTGAAGTAAGAGACAAAATTAAATGCTCGAAAAGTTAAAGCATGCCACTGAACATTAAAGGGCTGTCGGTGCTATAATTACATTTTTGTCAAGTTAATTAACCAATAATGGACTTCCAATTCCAAAACATTTTTATGGAGTGCCAAGACCATTCGTTATTCTCATTTGTTTAAAGTTTTTGATAATACTGTGAATGAGGGAAATAATTATTTACGGTGGAAATGAAGATTTTGCATCAATAAATAGTGAAAAAGATTGGAAATGAAGATTTTGTATCCACAAAAAGTGAAAATGATTGTACAGAAAGCTGAAAAGGAAAAGTGTGAATATCATATCAGCTGTTGTTGTTAACTACAGAGTATAAATATTTATTCGGTGATTGGCTGAATTAAAACAGGCGAAAATCCTTTACTGGGTAATTTACCATTGACCATCACCAGACCCAGTCCCAGTCCCCAGTCCGCTGCCTTTCTGCTTCTGTCCGCTTCCCATCGGTCTGCCACCCATACATATACCCTCGCGAGATATTTGCAAAATTAAATCCACACCTTATTAGAGTAGTAAATAAAAAATAAACCTCCATGTCGAAAAGTCAGGCCAGAGATTGGAAGCGGCTTCGAAGGAAGCTTAGCCGCCGGCTTGGATTGCTGCTGCTGAGCAGCTGCAGGAGCTGGGGTTTTCTTAGCTGCGGCCACAGGAACCTTCTGAGCAGCAATCAGCTGTGATGGGTCTTCAGTGTCATCATCTCCCAGTAAATCAAATGGGTTTAAAGTCGCCATTTTCAACTATCAAAACCAACCCACAAAAACCCCTCAGACTTCCTTTTCAACCGGACCTTTTTCAAGAAAGATTAATCAGCGGTATATCCATTGTGTATCAAAATATTTCATCGATCTATACTATCGAAGAAGAGAGACCAGAGAAACAGAGAGAGACAAGGTTTGATGAAGCCACGGTTCAGTTTATAGCATGAATAAATGAAGCATAAACGAAGCAGAAGGCAGTAAGATAAAGCAAAAAGTTGTGGGCTTATACAAATAGCTGCGGGACATGAATGTTCCAACACCAAAAGTAAAAGCTATTGTAAAATGACACTGTTAGACATGAGTTGAAAATATATAGTCCATTCAATGAATATTTTGAGGAATAAAAAATATAAACATCACATCTCATTAATGCTTCTTGTAAATGCTGCAAAACAGTCATTGTTCCACTAACATTCGGCTAAGCCTTGCAAGAAGCAACAACCAGTTCTAATAGCTACAAGAAAAAGAACAGCCAAAAGGCTTGGAGGACAAAAATAGCCCTGAAGAGAGCAAACGAATTGTAATGAGCACTAACCCTCCAAACGTCTTAGCTCCAAGAAAAAGAACAACCAAAGGGCTGTAACGACAAAAATGGCCCTGAAGAGAGCAGATGAAATTGCAATGAACAGGAACCCTCCAAACGTCTTCTTATAAGATATAAAGATATATATAATATACACAAAAGTAACAAAACCCCCTCAGCTCCTCCTCATTTCTAATCACTCCTCAACTAAACCCATCCTCTCTGTCTAAATCCTCCTAAAATTTTACCCAGCCCAGAATCCCAGATCGAGCTGATATCTTCGTCGGCAAGTGATCGGAGGTAAATCTTCATCTTTTTCTTCCTGATGTCTTCGTCTTTGTTTTCCTTGTGCGCTTAAATTGTTTGATAATTAGGAAGGAAAGGATCTGTCTTTGCTTCTGGTTGAACGAATAGTTATTTGATTAGCAAACTTAGAATACTGATAAGTGCCTAAATTAATAGGAAACTTTATACCGAGAAGAATTTGCAGCTTGATTTCATGGTGTTAAACGAATTGTGTGCCAGTGCCACATATTTTATGCAAATCGAAGAGTGTCTTTTCACTCATGAGTCAAAGTGAAAATTTTTCAAAAAAGCCTAATAATTACGCAAAATACTAAAAAAATATCAATTTATTTCAAGCTATTCAAAGAATTAAAAAATGAAACTGTTTTCTTTTTCACCAACTCTTCTCTCATTTTACGAATATAGCGTGAAAGGAAAATGGAATATTGGATGCCAAAGCTGAAGAAATTATTGCTCTCTAAGTTAACAATTCGACATGACCCAAAAAACAATAAGTAAGATAGTAACATTAAAAGAGTATATCTATAAGAGAATTCTGCTGTAATACAATCAAGCCTAAATACAATTTATGGGGCTTAAACCATGTAGCGTGATCATATGGGATAAAGTTGTTTTCTTTCTGGATGGTGAGATGTGGTTAATTTGTTTTTCTTGTGCATATAAGATGTTTGTGAAAAAGCCTTAATGAAAATGTAAATACGAGAGCCTAATGGAATAAGAATTCTTTCCATGTCCTATGATATCGTTTATAAGCAGTTCCAACAACCATGGCTTTGTTTTTCCCTTCATTTTGTCTTTCCTCGCGGGGGACTGCGGGGGAAACGGGGCGGGGGACGGGGGAAGGATCCCCCGCCCCATTGCCACCCCTAGGCTCCACTAGTTTTCCCAAGCCAAATTCCTAATTTGACACCCCGGACTTCACTTCAGCCCTAAATTTGTAAAATCTCTGTCGCTTTGTTTCCACCTTCTTGCCGCCGCCGATCTTTGTTGCCATTGCCGACGGCTCATCTGAAATCCCCAAGTAAGTTCCTACTAGAGGGTACAAGCTCTATACACCAATTTCCAGTCTCCTCTCCTACGCTTTGTCCAAAGAGTCCAAACCTAACTCCCTATATATTCTGAATCAATTCCTGCTGTCTTCTCCGGTTCTCCATACGATCCCGGCAGAGCTGCAGAAGTTGGGAAGGTTGGTTGAAAAAAAGGGTTGGAGTGATCTTTGTTTAATCAAGTAAGTTAATGTTCTGCAACTGGCTAATTTGGTGCAAACTAAAATGTTCACTTTTTGAAGATAAATTTGCTTGAGCTACATAAATGCATCCTTTAAAAGTCAGAATTGCATTATTGGGGTAAATGCTATCTAATTTTGATGTACAGATTCATTGAAGTATAAGAAGAAAGGGAAAAGCGTAAATGACCAGCAATGTGGAAGCACTCACTAATTTAATTTCACATGATCTATTTGTTAAATTTCAGGCAAAACACGTGCAAGAACTTTATTGGGGACTTTTTCTTCAATTCTTTTATTTGAATTAATGGATTTCCTTTGTTGCTTTCTATGTGTTTGAGGAAATGTCAAAGTTACTGAAAATTTTGGGATGCACCTCTTTTGGTAACTCCATTGTTGCTTCCTGAGATATGCAGAAATCAGGATGGCTACTTTTAGTCTATACTTTTAGTTGGAATTGCAGAAACTAGATATCTCCTTTTTTCTTTTTTTTTTTGGCTCAAGTAATGGACACTAATTATATTTTAGACGTTGAAGTTAAAAGCTACCTCTTATGTTGCTTGAAAGTTGAAATCAGTGTTCTAGATTGATATTTAGCATTCACTTATCAATTTTTTTTTTTTTTTTGCATTCTTGTTTTTCTTTTTCTCTTTTGGCTTAACTGAGGTAGGACGGAAGTAGACTGCTAACTGCTAAGCCAGCTCAAAGGTTGATTAACCATCTAGAAGACTCTGTTGATTGACCATGCAACTGAAGATGTCATCAAATTATGTAAATGTAGCGAGAATGTATTAAACTGACTTTTACTTGTTTGTTTTCTGTTATCTTTATGTATTGCAGCTGAATACATATCAATCTAAGTATAGCTTAGTATGTACTACAAAGTCTTCCACAAAATTGCTTAACAATCTTTGGAAGCAAATTAAGGATGTTCAAATTAAACATGTTCGATTTGGTGAATTGGATATGGATTTGGATCACAGCTTCTTGGTTATATTTTATAAATTTGATTTGCAGGAAAAAGATATATATATACATATACATATATGACGTATTTATGACGTCATCCGGTTCGACCTCCGAATGACTCCGGTTGAACCCATTGACCCCTGACCCCTGAGTTCGGCCGAATCGATGTCCGGTCTGAGTCTGAAAACATAGCTGAAAATCCTAAAGCGAACAGAATCTCCACTCAAACTCAAGCAGGAGTACTGAAATTTGTGTGGGCAAGAAGACTAGTCTGAAAATTTTGATTTGGAGCAAGTATGGCATCGTCGTCGGATCACCAGGCAACCGTCATCGACGGCAAAGCAGTAGCTCATACTATACGGTCCGAAGTCGCCGATGAAGTTCGTCAACTGTCCCAGAAGTACGGCAAGGTCTGAACTTGCCGCTCTTTCTTTCTTTCTTCTGTGTAGTGTTTGAGAAAATGGCAGCAAGAATTTCAGCAAAATTTTCTTGCTTGAAAGTTGAAACGATAACATTTTCCAACAAAGTTAATATCTGGTCCTTTGATTATCTTATTTGGATAGGTAGATAGAGGTGAGCTTAACAAAAAGGGCATAAATTGGCCTGATTTTGTGTGGAATTTGGGTGATAAACAGGTCCCAGGATTGGCCGTGGTCATAGTGGGACATAGGAAGGACTCTCAAAGCTACGTGAGTATGAAGAGGAAGGCATGTGCTGAGGTTGGGATCAAGTCCTTTGACATCAACCTTCCAGAGCAAGTGTCTGAAGCCGAATTAATCAGCAAGGTCCATGAGCTGAATGCAAATCCAGATGTTCATGGTTGGTTAGTTATATACCAGATTATTCTTCTTGTTACCTTTACAGCTTTCGGTTTCATCACCAAGCTAATTGAGCTCATAATATTTTGTTACCAAGAGATCCAATATACTAGTGTTTCATCTTGTCGTAACTGTGATTTGCCATTTCTTGTCAGTGTATTATTGCTTTCCACAAATCTATGCTAAGGAAGTAAATTTTAAAAAGCAATAATAATAAAAGAGAGAGACAGACAGACAGACAAGTTGGAGATTGTGATTGTCACTATTGTTGCAGGTATATTGGTGCAGCTTCCACTTCCAAAGCATGTAAATGAAGAGAAAGTTTTGGGTGAAATTAGCTTGGAAAAAGATGTGGATGGCTTTCACCCTTTAAATATAGGCAAGCTTGCAATGAAAGGCAGAGAGCCTCTATTCCTTCCATGCACCCCTAAGGCAATATACTTTGGTCTTGAGCACTTAAACGGTTTGATGTAGAAGTTTTCATAATTTGTTTCATGATATGCAACATACTTATATGGGTGAACTACATCGTTACTTGGACATTTTTGAGAGGCTCTATTTCTTGAGCAGGGCTGTCTTGAGCTTCTGTCACGTAGTGGCATTAGCATAAAGGGCAAGAAGGCAGTTGTGGTAGGACGAAGCAATATTGTTGGATTACCTGTTTCCCTACTACTACTCAAAGAAGACGCCACTGTCACTATAGTGCATTCACATACCAAGGAACCAGAGAAAATTATTCGTGAGGCAGACATTGTTATTGCTG